CTTCGTTTGCCCTCCTGATGGTATCTGTACCTGATTTAGCTCTTATTTCAACAACTGCCACTTAATGAAATAACATAATGTAATTAACTACTTTTCTCATTTTGTTTACTAAAATAGATAAATTAGGTTCGGACAAACGAGCTTCGGACAATCGGGGCGCTCCCTGACATACAGATTAATGTGTAGTATATGTTTTATCTGTTATCATCTGGAGACACACTTTCTCTCATCTCATGCAAAGGCCAAAGTTGAGACAAATGTATGCAGTAATTTTTTTAAAGGGTAAGCTTTTGGGAAAATAATGTAATTCATTTGTTTGTTTGAAAGTAATCCCTAAAACGGAATTACAGTTTATATTCCACACAAGATTACAGACAACTCCTTGTCATTTCACAGTAATCATGTTGCATTAATTAACCAAACTTGGCCAGGTTTGTGCTGACATCCAACCATAGACCATTTCACCTATGGGCAATTCCATGAAGTGACATCTGTATGTAAAGGCATTTGTGGACGACTGAGAGATTCTTCATAATGTTGCAACACATACCTAGAAGCGTCTTTCATTGATGCGCATGGTAATATGCCTAAACAACGAGAGCACTTTACAGTCGCTCACGAATGCTGTCACTGTAACACTTTCTACAATTTTTAATGGAATTGCCAGTATGTGTTCTTCCATTACAACCTTTCCAAATTTATATCTATGTACAACACTACAATTTATAATACATAGCTCATAATGTAAGCATTTAAGTACCTATTGTACTGAAATCACAGCAGAGCCAACATTGTCCTGGAGAGTTATTTGTGAAGTTATTAAACTCGCTCGGGACACACAGTGTGCATTGGCAGAAGTCTCATTGAGAACACAGCAAGACAATAGAAAACAATGCACACGCATAAGTGAACAGAAAAAAAAAGGACCAATTAAGAATTTTACAATTTAATAATTTTTTTATGAACTGAAAATTCTATCTATTTGTTAATTCAAGGAAGTAATGCTGTTAAATCTAAGATGTTACATAGGAAAAATGCAATAAGGTAATACTTGAATTGAAAATATCTGGATCAACAATCCAATAAAGTGAATGGTAATTCACTTTTCATTGTCCATTTAAAAATTTTGGTGCTTAAACTTTATGTTCAAACAGCCTAACTCTCAACAGTAAAAGTATTTCATTGAGGATAGTTGAAAAGTTCCAAACAGTTTTGTTCTGAACACTAGTTTGTTGTACACAATGTCGATAATGCGGTGTGAATGGGAAAGAGGGGGAACGGTGGACCTCACAAATTGCAAAGGTACAAGAATTTGGACAAGTACTATTTGGAACGACCCAACCTCCCAATTTTTACACACTTTGATGTCCAAAACTGCTTTCTGCAGTATTGTAACAACGTTATGGTAAGAATTATGAATAAGCAGTTGGTTGAAAGACTTCTGTATCATGCAGATAAATTGATTTGTACTATTTCTGCATTGAACTAGCAGGCTCTGTTTTTATTTTCTCTGATACAAAACTCACTTGCGGTAGAAATATCTCTTTGGTTTGATATCCTAACCATACAGAATAAGCAATGCTTTTGTTTATTGCATTCCAGATAAATGAAATTTGGAAAGAAAATCCTTTATCAGCTAACTTCATTTGTATGGTACCCTCTATTTAGCAGAAAAGTTGAATATAAATTTATATACATCTTGAATTGTTAACAAGCAATATTAGTTAGATGATTCTTTGATTAAGCTGAAATTATTTACCTGATAAACCAGACAAAACTGTCTCAAAATTAATTAGATAGGTATTTATTAGGCTCTACAAACAGAAAGAAAGGTCAACAGAGAACTTTGACTATCATGATGCTGAGTGAGTTCACTTTCAAAGAAATAATATTATAAGTTTATCCTGTAACTAGTATCATATCTATGATTTTTTTAAACAACAAATGAAAGTATAAGTGTTTTTCTAGGTCTTTGAAAATTAAACGGTGCACCAAGTAAGCAAATAAGGCTCTAGTGCATATCCCCAAATGTCTGAAATATTGGACAAGTTAACTAGAATTTAAAAAATTTAGATGCCCAGTTACCTGAGTTGGCTTTTGAATCTAAATTTCTTTAGAGAATTTCAAGAAATTGGTCTGTTTAATTATATGTAAACAGGGAATGATTTTATATGATATTCTACATTACATTGAGCCATTGAGAAAAGAAAATTAAATAAAGACCAGAAATTAAAATCCTTTTATGCCTCTTGCTAGTAGAGAAGAGCCACAAATATTACTATGTGCTGACTCTGGATCACAATTTGACAAACCCTCATTAATGATTACTAAATGATTTTGCTAGTATTCCTCAATACATTACGTACAGCCTTATCAACAAAAATAAGATTGGAAGATATTGTGAGCTTTCCGTTTAAGTTTTGCTGCACCAATATGACTAACATCAGTTGATAGGGTTTTATTTGTCTCTATCACAATATTTTCTGTCCTCTGGGTGATGAGGTATTTACTGACATCTTTGGGCATTCATTCATGTTCTTAATGTGAGTATACAATATGTACACATAAAGAAAATAATGGAAAAACAAACAAATAAACAATGCACATAATTTGATAACAGACTATCACAATATCCACCAGTAAATGAGGAGATATGGATGTAAAGAACACTTTGAGGGCCATTCCTGTCACTTCAATCAAGTTTTGCCAATAAATCAATGAGTGAAAAAAGAACATGATAGCATGACTTGACGATTACAGTAACTCTATGTTAAGGCGTAAAGGTGGTGAGGGCTCATGAGCAATGAGCTGCTAAACTTGAGCTCCAGGTCTATGCGTTCATTTCTAAAAAAAAGCTTTCACTGTATTACATCCCTGAGTACAAATATCCAGAATAACTTTTAATGATTTTGGGTTGGGATGCACTCTTAAAAGGCGCTCTGAAGCAAAGAAAAATTTGACAAAGAATGGCCCTTTATTGCCAATATGGCAGTATCTTCTAAAGAAGAAGGACGGCGGCAATTCTCCTATCATGACTTCATTTTCAACTGAAGTCAAAAAAATTATTTTTTGTGCTGTATCTGCCAAGAAGGCTATAATGCTTCAGTAGCTTTCCTAGTCTCTCAAGAATTAAAATAAACTCACTAGTATTCCCACATTTATGGTCCCTTTGCAGGACAGGTATTACAAAATGGGACCTATATACGTTTATGAGCGATAAGTCACTGGCAAAACCATACATTCACCAAAAGACAAGTGCGCTTGATAGTAATTTTAAAAGAACAAAGTTGCTGCTAATCAAGGCTTAATAATAAAATTTTAAGTTAATAACAAAATGGATTGCGGTAAATAACATCTCTTATAACATTTTCCAAAGAAGACAGTAACAACAATTTAAAAAAATGGAAGGTATGACTGACAATGACAAAGGGAAAAATTATTTACTTAAGATCCAAACTTTATAAAACAGGAACTGTCAGAGACTTGCAATACCATATAATAAATCTATCCATAACAATGACATTACATTAACATTTTATTAGACATTTTTCTCTTACAAAACACTACATCTTGTGAGAGATCAATCAGAGCATCCGACAAAGTCTTGTCGGCTCACCATATATGGATGGACATGGACACATGTACTAAAGGTAACAGTTTGCATTACTTTCCACTCTGTATCTGTCCACTTGAGGCAGGGTGAAAGGCACTAAAAGTTTTCACTCAGTATTCGTACAGAAATTTGTTGGTACAATAGAACAGCCACGGTCAAAAGTAGAATATGGCAGTAATACACTTTACCACTTGAAGAAAGTAAAAATTTCAATGCGGTTTGGACATTGAAACAGTTCTGCCGAGACCGCTTTATTGAACGCTCTTCTTAGCCGCACCGTTTGCCCGGACCTGAAGACGAAACAGAAAGCATATAAACATATTGGTCAAAATAAGTGTGTGGTGAAATCATTAAGCATTTCTTAAACGTCGTACTTAGATGAGAACGGGCGAGGGCGGGCGTCCACGCGACCCTTTCCGCGCCAGGATGCTGACAGGCGCCGTGGTGGCCGTGATAGGGGTGATGGCGGTGCCCGGGATGGAGCCCGGGATGGACGCGTCGGGCGGAGAGGCGGGGGTGGAGGCGGCGGTGGCTGCTGCAGGGGCTGCAGCGCCGGGCCCCGCGGCCGGCCGAGGGGGCGAGCCGGGGGCCGGGTACCGTCACTGCACCGCGCAGAAGGACACCTGCAACGGGCGGCGGCTCAGTGTCGGGGGAAGTACCACCGGGCCGCACCGGCCGGACAGGCAAACATATCAACAAACCGACATAGAGAACTAGGAAAAGAGAGAAGAAAGGGTGCAGAGATGTTGGTTTTAAAGGTACACAACAAAGAGAAAAAATTCCGCTAGGAAGAAAAAGAATGTGGGCTGGAATGACGCAGAGAAAGATTGGCGAGGATGAATGAAATACAGAGAGATGGAGATTGATATTCAGTGAGCGAGATGAGAAAAGAATGAGAGAGCCACATGAAAACGAGAATACGGAATGAAAATAGGAGAGAGACACGCCCTCTGTTAATCAATGTTGACATGTCTACCAGTCAGTAATATAAGTACACCATGCCACCATGGCTATTGGTTTATATACATTAAACAACATAAATTTATAAAATATTTTAAACTATTTCTATGAATGAATGGCACACAAAACCATTCTACAACTAGAGGAAGGGTCCAGATCGGTAGTACCACAAGGTTTAAAGAACACATCAGGTAGCCACACAAGCACACACACGACGAAATGGTCAAGACAGATAGGATGAGATCACATTGACGTCTTATGTCAGTCAATATGGTGACATTGACTTCAATACTGTCTCATTGTGCCTTCTTCGTTTTCCATGGGAAACGAGCGAGGCACTTGACATATACTTGCTTCAGCTTCTCATCGCCCACACCCACACACACACTAAAAGCATTCGGAACGTGCAGACTAGAGAGAAAACCCAAAACTAGGACAGGTTGTCTTGAAGCTCTGTACAATAAAAATAAACAATCATAGAAAACTATTACAATTACTTGCAAGTCTTAAATGCAAGAGAGCACAAGATTTCACTGTCCCAGTTACAGTTTCAAGAGTTTCCCCCCTCTAAATGATAAGTCGGTTAACTGGATTTCTCCCCCAAAACAATCATAAATAAAAGGAAAAAACGACACTTGGGCATTCCCTAGTCCATGATGCAGTAACTACCGAGAAAAATTCGGGCAAAGTTTACATAGCTTCATACCAGACAGAGAAACACAGAGCATCAAGGAAAGCAGCGTTCTCAGTTCAGAGAAAACGGAAGCAGAATCATTACCCGTAAGCAAGACAGAGCGACAGACGACGAGGAATAATAAGACTAGTTTGGGCACAGGATTCAACCATTGACAGCGACTCAGCGCAAGAGAGAAGAGACCAAGGAGAGAGAAACTCGTCAAAATGTACTTTCGAAAGCACCCGGCATGTGGCATGTACCGACATTTGGATTCAAGACGGCTTCGCCGTCCACCAGCGACAAGTGAGAAATAATATGTAAAATCTTATTTCATGAGTTCAACCCCCGGTGCCAGGGTGCCACCTTTTCCCGGGAGTCTGTCTTGTACAAATCGCAACCCGCAGTTCAACTACAGGGCGACGATCGGTAGCGACTCAGAACGCAATACGATGAATGGGGGAGGAGCGCCGGACAGACAGAAAGACAGACATAGACAGACTATTGCACACACTGAAAACATAGCTCCATTCATAGTATTTTGCTCACTAGAAAAACATCCAAACAGACGGGGTATTGCTACACACATACACACACAGTCTCTACTTACGCTGCCCAGGTTGGCGCAGGACGCGTTTTCGGGGAGCGGGAAACAGCGGGTTTCGTCCGTCGTGGACTGTGGGCAATGTACCAGACCCTGGCTTAAGAACGAGCGCAAGTAACAAACACACAGCCCAACGCCAGCCTAAACACTGCACGGCAGACCCAAACTTAAATGAGACACGTCTTCAACTCGGGCTGGGTTGGGTAGAGCGGGGCGGTGGGGTTGGGGCTGAAAGGCGAACTGTAGCAGAGCAGCAACGCGGCAGAGGGAAGTCTTAAATCTTTTAAATTATTTGCGAATACTCGGAAAAAAGGGCTTTCCACTGAAAAACCTTGAGGTTTATTGTCTACTAAATCCCCGACTTTACTGCAATGAGGGAACCCCCCCAACAAGTTGCCCAGATAAAATGGTGAAGTATGACAAGCGGGGTAACGTTGACCGTGGCCGCCCCAGCCGGACACTGATTTGAGGACGGTCTATTGATTAGGAATAAAAAGGGAAGGGCTCGTGGTCATGGTAAGTCGAGCGAGTGCGAGAGAGATAGAGGAAAGGAGAGCGGGAGAGTGTGAGAAGGCGAGAGAGAGAGTGGGAGAGAGCGGGAGAGACGTACGTACAGGCAGAGAAAGACAGAAGAAAAAGAGAAAGGCGCATTCACAATGGAGGAGGAGGGAGAGCGGAGAGGGGGCAGCAATGGGGTGGGAGGTTGGCGCAGTTGGTTTTAGGGGGGGGGGAGAAAGGGTTGGGGACTAAAATAGCGCAGGGCACGTTAATTTATGGACGCCTTAGCGCCTGGGCGGCAGTGACAGACGACGTCTCTGCAATTAGCAAGGGAATCCAAGATTATTCCGGCCTTTGTCATCCTTTCCTCCAAACCCGCCAGCCCACCGCCAACCGCACCCCGCCGCCGTGATCCTGCGTTTTGAAGAATGAAAAAAATAAAGAAAAGAGAGAATGTGATGAAAAAGAACGTGGGTAGGGGTAGGAGGGTGGCCCGGGAGAGACCCACCAGGCCAGGCCGAACCGAGAGCGCGAGCCCACTGCCCTACATTGGGGCGTGGCGGACAGCGGTGCAGGTCCAGAAGATTAAAAACGCTTCATCGAAACAAAGAGAAAGTCACAACGAAGAGAGAGATGGAAAATAGGAGACAGAGAGAGAAAGAGAGAGCGAGAAAAAGAGATAGAGAATGTAAAATAATACGAGAGGATTGGAGGCAGCACCGCGACGTCCGTGGACCAACCGCGGCAATGCCATTGTCTCTCGTGGCACTACAAGTAAGTACGGTAAGTCCGTGGAGCAGACGGAAGAGAGAGAAACAGACAGAGAAACAGAGAGACTCCGTGGGCACCGCGGCCGCTCTGCTGCGCTGCTGGCACAAAGGCGCTACACTGACCTTGTTTTCTGGTGATTTCGGGGCCGATGTGAGTGTCTGCTCCTCCCCGAGGGCCCGGCCGTCCTCGTCTTTGGGGGAGGCCCCCCCGGAGACGCCGCCGACGCCCCCGGGGGGGCAGACTGTTTGTCATCTAAGCGCCAGGGTGGACACGATGGGGGGCCTGGTGGGCTTGTTGTCCAGGATGCGCTCCAGGTCCGTCATGGTGGTGGCGTTGAGCTTGGGCACCAGCTGTGGACAGAGCGGAGCGAGGGTCGTGTGAGCGGCGTGTTCCCCCCGGCCAGGGTAGGCAACCCTCCGCCTGGAGCGGTAGGCCACCCTACAGCAGCAGTGGTCCCACCTGGAGGCTCTGGATGCTCTCGTACAGCTGCGCGGGCGAGGTGGCGCCGAGCAGCAGGCACTGCACGCTCTCGTTCTTGAGGCACCAGGCCACGGCCAGCTGCGGCACGGTGCAGCCCAGCCGCTCCGCCACCAGGCAGATCTCGCGCTGCCGGTCCTGCTGGCGGCGCAGCTCCTCCGGCTCCAGCCGCTCCTTGATCCACGCGTACGTCTGCGGCAGACAGGCAACTCGCGTTGAAGTGATCGTCGAAGGGTTTGACTCGTCGCACGTGTTTAGCACGTGTGTACGAATGTGAGGCATCGTGTAAAACAAAGAGCTCTGCGATTCTCTTACCTCCTTGCTGGCCGCGGCTGTTGTTTCGTCCTCAGTCCAACTGTATGATGAGCGTTTGCTCTGAAAGTGAAAGTAAAGAGTCACGTGATCATATGAAAACAGCAACCAATCATGAAAGAAGGCAAACCAGAGTTATCAAGGGTAAAATCTTACCTTGAAAGACGATCTACTAATTAGAGGAAACCCTGCTTCGTCGAATTTACCCGAAATAAGTCCCATGGTCAGAGGAGACCACGCCATCAGTCCCACGCCTGAAAGAAAGGTGAAATATGAAAAGCTTGCTCCTTCCACCTTGCGGCTGGAGGGTCGCCAGTCGCCACCACAGTCAGCAGCCACACCCACCTATCTTATTGTACAGCTCCGGCATGTAGAGCTCGGCTTTGTCCCGGCAGAACAAGTGGTACTCGGCCTGCTCGCACACCGGGGTCGTGCAGTTGAACTGCCTGCAGTTGGAGTAGGCCTCCATGACCTCGCCGGGCGTCCAGCGCGCCGTGCCCCAGTACATGGCCCAGCCCTGGCACACGACGTGGTGCATCGCCCGCACCACCTCTGCAACACGGACCAAAACACATAAATTTTAATTTTTTTGAAAAGTTAGGAAAATATGAAAATTATCAACAGACAGTAACAAACGCCACATTTTAGCAAATGTTTGAATTTTATCAAATTTTCCCACGTTTTTACGCTACAATGTCAGTGTTTGAGGAGACATTGCACTCACCCTCCATGGGGCACATGGGGTCCGCCTTGTGAATGAGGACCACGTCGATGTACGCCAGCTGCAGCCGTGCCAGCGACGCCTTCACGGACTCGATGATGTGCTTCCGGGAGAGGCCCCGCTCGTCGGACCTGGGCGAATGCACACACGTTATAGGTCGGGCAGGACGCGAAAGGTGCACAAAGGACGACGATGACGCACTTGGAGTTCCAGTAGATCTTGGTGCAGACCACGTAGGAGGAGCGCTTCCAGCCGCGGCGCTGCAGGATTCTGCCCAGCTCCAGCTCGGCCCGCGGCCCGCAGTGCGCCTCGCTCACGTCGAACAGATTGACGCCCGACTCGTAGGCCAGCACCACCACATTCTCGGCCTCGCTCTCCGTCACGCCGGGGCCGAACGTCACCCAGGTGCCTGCGGGCGGAGACGAAACGCGCGTCCAGTTGAGACATTTTGACGGTCGAAGACAATTTTACCAGAGAAAGAGACGTTTGTTCAACAATGTCAGAGGGACGGGCTCTGGAGATCAATTTCCAAATTTTGAGAGTAGGGACTTTAATTTTCCAGTGAAGTGTATTTTTGAGAGATTTGTCATTTTTTGGTGTGTCAAAATGTTTGATTTTTTTTTTTAATTTGTTCGGAAAATATTTTAACTTTTCCAAATTTTCTGGAAAGATTTCGGACTTGTAAAGTCCCTAGTTGGGGGGTTACTAAAGACACGTACCCAGGCCGACGTTGGAGACGCGGAGGCCGCTCTTGCCCAGGTTGCGGTAGCGCAGGCCGGGCGTCATGTTGGTCTGCCTAAGCGCGCCGCTGGACAGCAGCGGGTCGCGCGCGAGCAGCATCTGCTCCTTGGTGGCGCCGCCCCCGCCCCCGCCCAGGCCCCCG